ACAGAGACCGAGACCGCGAGAGGGAGCGAGACCGACGCGACAAGCACCGCGACCGGTCGAGAGAGCGTCACCGCCAGCGCTCCCGCTCCAGAGACCGTCGCTACAGATAGTGCCACGCTAACATCTATTTGATCTACTAAATGTAATTGATAAATAAAATAGCAATAACGTTTTATATTGTGTCATTTCAATGTCCCAGTATTATTATTTTACTAATTTTTGGCAAGAATAAAAGGATTAAGACACATGTGTAAATAAAAAAGAAAAGTGTTTAAATGTATTTTTTAAAATCATGTTTCATAATGCATGTAATTTTTATTGCATAACAAAAGATTGTAGCATAGCATCAAAGTTATTGTTGCACAAGAAATTGTTATGTTAATGTTTGCATTTTATCTTATACTTAACAGAAATAAATTACTCAAGATCTATAACAGCTGGGCAAATAATTCTTTTGTCACAATCTAAGCAGCTGCGCCTTTAGTGTTCTCCTGTTGTTCAAATTTAGGATATTTACCTTCCACATCTGCCCAAGTTATCTTTGCATTTGCTAAATCCCTTACAATATCAGAGACTTCTTCTAGAGGAAGACGCACTTGTCCCATACTATCTCTTTCTCGCAATGTCACTGAATGTGGTTGTTTTGTAGTGTCAAAATCTACTGTAATAGCATATGGGACCCCCAATTCATCAGTCCTGGCGTACCTGCGCCCAATAGAACCAGAAGAATCATCTACTTTGTGGGAAACATCAACCAAAAGTAACTCTTTTGATAATTCTTTTACAAATGGTTGGAATTCTGCATTACCACTCAATGGTAGTACAGCACATTTCATAGGTGCAACTGCTGGTGGAAGTGAGAAGTAAGTTCTTTGTTCATCACCATCCCTCATCTTAAAGTTATGCTCCAATATACTGTACAGGATTCTACCAATGCCAAAAGATGGTTCAATCACACTTGGTATTATTTCTTCGACATGAAGTGTTTTTTCACTTGTTTTGACACTAACAAGATTTGGAGTCAGTTTAAAGGTACCATTTGCAGTTTCAAGATTATAAATGCCTTCAGTTGCTAGCTTATTTTCCAATTCTTCTAATGCAGCAGGTTCTAGAGTAGCTAAAGCATCATTAATGATTTTGGCATCTTTCTTAAATTCCTTCCCAATGGCAGCTTTGTTTGGAACAGCTTCGACTATTTTGACCTGTTTTGGAGCTGGTAATTTCTTCTCTGCAGCAAGTCTTATGCCAGTAGCTTTTGTGTGTTGAGTTAGATCATAAGCTGATCTATCAGCACACCCCACACATTCAACCCAGCCATAACTAGTCAGGCACTCTGCATCCCAACAATCACAAGCATAGTGAGCCATCTCATTGCCCATATGCTGACGGAATCTCAGTTTCTTTGAATCAATACCAACTGCTAGCATGTACATATGAATCCTGGCCATGAAGTAACCCAGAGTTTCATTGTTAACTATCTTTTTACCCACTGCATCTCCAATTGTCATAATTTCTGCAGGTTTCCCTTGTTCCTGGTTGTCGGCAGAATATAGCAGCATTTTTGTATCTTTCACAGATTCAAACTTAGGATGGTCCTTTGAATCACAAAAGTGTTCAATTTCACACATAGTAAACTCTCTAACTCTGAGTAGGCCTGAGCGAGGAGATATCTCATTTCTAAATGAGTTACCAATCTGTGCAGCTGCAAATGGCAGACGTCCTTGATTGAATTCCAACAAGCGTTTGAAATTAACGAATATACCTTGTGCTGTTTCCGGTCTCAAGAATCCTTTCACTAAACCTGAAGGACCAATTTGTGTGTTGAACATCAAATTAAATTCTATGGGTGGAGTAAGATCATTTCCTGTTATGGGGGACTTCATATTGAACCTTTCCATTAGAGCTGACATTTCATCTGCATTCATTCCATCCAGCTTCACCAAGATATCTTCTATTTCAGATTTGAGTTCAGCTTTTGTATTCTTCTCACTTTTTATTTTTTCTAGATGAGCCTTAATAAGATGATCTAAACGGAAGCATTCCCCTGATTTCACATCTTTAGTCATAAGATCAGCAAATCTTTCTACATGACCAGATGCTTTCAATACAGGTTCTGGAGTTAGAATGGAACAGTCAACTTCTAGCATGTTTTCATTAAGGATAAAATACTTTCTCCACAGTTGAATCATGTTACTTTTCAGAGCGCATCCCATTGGGCCGAAGTCAAATTGGCCCGTAATACCACCGTAGATTGCAAAAGACTGGTCATAAAAGAATCTTCTTTTGATAAGATCTTCCATTTTAGATCTGTCAAATACTTCATCGCTAGGGGCAAGGCTCAGCTCCTTGTCTTCTAGTACTTTCTTACGAGCCTTCAGTTCTGCAACAGCCTTTTTGATGTCTAGTTCAGGTGCTTTCTCTTCCTTTAATTTTCTAACAAGATCGCCTTGACTTTTGACATTAGCTCTGAGGGGAGCTAAAATTTCTTCGATTTTTGGATCAGCCATAATTGTTTCTCGTAAAGGATTAGGTATTTTTATTTTTCTATGAAGTTTATTACTGCCCCACTGACTAGACGCAAACTTGCACTGGACTTGAACAGATGGTAACCGCTTACTAAATACACTACATTTATAGACTAATGATATAACGTTTCTCATTTATTACGTGAGAAACGTTGTATTTATTGATCAGTTGATCACATATGGAGTAAAACCGGTGACAAGGCAATCGCGTGTTCGGTGATGAAGTTCCAAGAAAATGGAAATGACAAATGTCACATTGACATATACGTGGCTTATCCTAGAGATGCCATTATACAACAACTTTCGCGATTTAAATAAACTTCAGTTTAAATACATGAGTATGTAGAACATGGTAAGTGTTTTCAGTATTCAAGGTAAATAAAATCTGAGTTTTTGAATAGCCTCATTTTAGCTCAAAAATACACTACTCTGGCAATATAGTCTCATCTATCTCTATCTCTTTCCGACATTAAATCACAGCATGCAATTATCATAAGATAAAGCGTGATGGGGATAGTTTAATTATTTGTTTTCTTTTTCAAATATCTCATTTTTGACAGCACAAAGAAGGCGGCCATTTTATAGCTTCTTGAAGAATAGAAACGGGCTGTAGTTTTCGTATAGCAATAACTTGTTTGTTCTAGTTTTATAAATTATTTTACAAAAGCATTTCTACTTACGTACAAAACTGTATACGTATTTAGTGTAAGTTTAGTTATATTTATGTATTGAGCAAGGAGAGATGGACGACCCAAACAGGATGATGGCGCATAGCGGTGGGCTGATGGGACCTCAGGGTTATGGCCTGGCCGGGGAAGGCGCCCCTACGGCTGGAGATGGCGAGGCTCGCAAACAGGACATTGGAGAAATTCTACAACAGATCATGAATATTACCGACCAGAGTCTTGACGAAGCCCAAGCAAGAAAACACACACTAAATTGTCATAGAATGAAACCTGCCTTGTTTTCTGTGCTATGTGAAATTAAGGAGAAAACGGGTGAGCTTTATTTTACTAATGAATTACCTTTAATAATAATGAATAAACATTTAAGATATTGAGACTTTTTATTAAATATATTTTGTTTATTATATTGAATAACGTACTAACACAATAATTTATTTACACTGTTCATATTAGTGATATTTTTGTGCAGTGCTGTCACTTCGTAATACTCAAGAGGAGGAGCCTCCGGATCCCCAGCTGATGCGACTGGACAATATGCTGATAGCTGAGGGAGTGGCGGGTCCAGAGAAGGGTGGGGGTGCGGGTGCCGCAGCTTCTGCGTCTGCTGCGGCTGGCGAATGGGGTAATACAGTCTGTCTCATCTAGCTCCTAATAGTTGGTGTTGGTTGGGTGCATGCTATTCTGTTTGTCAAAAGATTGAAGATAGTAAATGAGGAATTTCCTGTATATCAATAAAAAAGAAGTTAACTATGTACAGTATCACACAACTATAGTAATGGGTGCAAATTCACTGGACAGGTCGAATGAGCATGGTTAAATAATTGGCATGATTATATATTTAGTAATTATCTTTGGCAAAATATAGTTAATTGACAAATTAATTGTATGTAATATGTATAATTCAAACTGGAATAAACATGGTAGCTTGCAAATGCAAGATGTCTCTTTATATTTAAAAATGTTGCTAAACCACAAATAAAATGTTTAAATATTGTTTTTCTCATCATATGCAATGTAGAAGACTGGTTTCTTATAAGTCCTAATAATATTGCAATAACAATTTATTAAATGTTTGTTTTAAAAACAGACCATTTTAACTTGGTCAGATTTCATTGTTAACAATCTTAAATCAAGTGGTTGATTACTTTTCAATTCATTATTAACTTTGTAATACTTTTAAAAGTGGTATTGTTATATTAAATCTTTACTTTATATTAAATGTATTGCCCTTGCAAGTGGCTAACTAACAGATATTGGGATGGAGGTTGCATGTATCTCTTTCTGTCCCCCCATCTGCTGCAACTTAAGGCACTGTGGCTCAAGCAGATAACGCGATCGAGCACTCGGACTATCGCGCGAAGCTCGCCCAGATCCGCCAGATATACCACCAGGAGCTGGACAAGTATGAGAATGCCTGCAACGAGTTCACCACGCACGTCATGAACCTGCTGCGCGAACAAAGCCGCACCAGACCCATCACACCCAAGGTATGTCATTTTCTAGATATATTTATCTTCATCCAAACTTATTTTAATTAAAACTAGCAATCTTTAGTTTGTATCTTAATATCAATTAGAGAAACAGTTCTAAACTGATTTAATCTCTATTTTATATGTCCCAAATTGTTCACATTACACACACCCACACACACGTAGAGACACACACAAAAATACCCAAACACGTTTAGGATCACATATATAATTACGTACCTAGACTAAGAGAAGGCCCTGCCTCCTGTAATACAGGTCCTCACCTGGCTCAGGAAGCAGAGACCAATGCTTTTGTGAAACTGGTTTGATTAATAAAGTGCTTTTTTTTAAATTGTAATCTGTTTATTTTCTCTCAGGAAATTGAACGAATGGTTCAAATAATTCACAAGAAGTTCAGCTCAATCCAGATGCAGCTAAAGCAGTCTACTTGCGAGGCCGTCATGATACTGCGCTCGCGGTATGTGCCTTAATCCGAAAACAAATTAATATTACATAATATGTGTGACTTAATCCTTAATGTTATATATTTTAGGTTCCTAGACGCCCGTCGCAAGCGACGCAACTTCAGCAAGCAGGCCTCTGAGATCCTCAATGAGTATTTCTACTCGCACCTCTCTAATCCATATCCTAGTGAGGAGGCCAAAGAAGAACTGGCTCGCAAGTGTGGCATCACTGTCTCACAGGTAAATAATCTGCTAATTTTCATGATTTTTTTATTTTTTCAAACTGGCGAAGCGACCCCTGCCCATAGACATCATAATAGCGGATGCGTTGCCTACCGTTAATCGACGGTGGAGGAGACGCATGTAAAGAGGATATTTCCCCTTCCTATGCGTCTCCTGCACCGTCAAATTCTCGTTCCTTTCCTGTCCTCTTCTTATAAGAAAAAAGGTAGGAAGGAAAAGGGACTAAAGTTGGGCCTCCGTTCTAATGTCCTAATTATATGGTCTTGGACTCTGATAATTATTTCGTATGTTAAATCGATTGCATATTTAAAGTTGTATTGTTCCCAGGTGTCCAATTGGTTCGGCAACAAACGCATTCGCTACAAGAAGAACATCGGCAAGGCTCAAGAGGAGGCGAATCTGTATGCCGCTAAGAAAGCAGCGGGTAATTACCGTTTTCATAAATATTTTATACTCGAATAGTTTTCAATGATTTTATCGCGGATATTTAAAATTTATTAAAAATGTATCGAATTTTTCCCCCAAGTAGAAGTTATACTTCGCGTTAAATTTTTGACATTTTATAGTGAATAGCTCTATAGTATAGATAATATATCGGCGCTGTACACTATGGTTTCCGCACACAGACCTGCCTTGGATTGGCGCGTGCAGGCGCGATGCTAGCTCCCCTCCGGCCCGACCCACCTCGTATTACAGTAAACTATTATTATTTACGTCCTTATTGACATCACTCCCTCACATAATCCCTAAAATTAACAAATACACATAAAAAAATCTAATATACTGCAGTTATTGTAACTAATAATGGCGCCCAAGGCAGACCTATCAAAGATATTTTATAGGAGTCCCCGTAATTTCTCAAAGATTAGGTTTAGCCTTTGTAAGAGGCAGCGCTAATTGTAATAAGGTTGATGAGGTTACTGTCTGCAGCAGCGGGTGCGTCGCCGTACTCTATGGGCGCGGCGTCGGGCACGGCCACGCCCATGATGTCGCCGGCGCCCACGCAGGACAGCATGGGCTACTCGCTGCCCGCGCCCGGATACGACGCGCCGCAGCCCGGATACGACGCCGCTATGGGCTACGACCCTATGCATCAGGACCTCTCGCCCTAACTGTACTTAAGGTAACCCTATTTACCTTCACATTTACACTTCTCTTAAAAAAACATAAATTCATACAAGTTCAACTTGTGTTTTACTCAAAGACTTAAGATTATAGTCTGTTTAGGATATTGCAGAAAACTTGTGGGTTATTCAATTGAGGGAAAGAGAAGGATGCATAAGAATAAGAAATGTTGCATGGAAAAAAATCTAATTTTCTAGTTCAGGTCAAAAATGAATAAACCACGTTTTTTTACTATTAGCAAGTAATCAAGGCTTTTTAAATTTGTTTTTTTTTACCTGTTTATCCGCATAGTTAGTATTCTATGTATGTAAGGTTGTGTTTGTTGCAGGGCGCGCGGGTGCGAATATCGTACAGCTTCCACAGAATTGCCATTTACTACATAACTTACTTATCTAGTGAGCCTTAGCGGTTAGGACATTATGTATACTATGAAATTTACGATACATTTTAGCTATAATATTTTTGGACGGAACTTAAATTTGCCCTGTATTATCTATTCGACTGGTGCACAGTATTTTTTTATTTTTATAATGTAATTTTTTTTTTATTATAACCTTAAAGGCTGTTTTAAGATTTAAAGAAGAATAAAATTGATTGTATGGAATCCATCAAATGCTTCAACTTTTGAAGTAATTTTTTTTAATCTAAAAAAATTAGTATTATTGGGTACTTTTCCAGTGTATACGCAGTTTTAAGTATTATTTCTGAACCGATCAGTGATTTCTTGAAATTTATGCTTCGCTGAATGGCAGTATTAGTACGCCAATGGCGAGATCTCTTGTTTCTACGTTCACTAACTTTTACTATACGGTGGAATAAATATACGATAGATTTAAGCATATTGTAGTTGATTATCTATAAGTAAAGTTGTGTCCTGTCTTCGCGTGATTGCAGCTGTTTGATCCTCGAATGCCTTCCGTATGAAGAAATATTGATACCGCTTTATAGATGTTTGGAACAATTTCTTTTGTTTTTGTATGTTTAAATATTCTTGCTTTGAGTCCTACTATTGTACAATCGGGGAATCTGGCGGTAAAACCTTAAGCTGTCACTAACATTTTGTACGCATTAATACGACGCGAAACAAACACCAATGCAGCTTTTAAATGCGTCTGTACGAAAAAGGCGTATTTGTGTTACGAGGCCATTTTTTTTTATTTTCTCGTTGTTTGCGCAACTCACTACTACTAAGGTAGTACGCATCGCAATAAGTTGCATATTTGTAAGAGACGCAGTTTGTTTCGTTGCGAGGAACAAAGGAATTATTCTTGAAAGTGAAACGCCTCGGATTTCCACGATTGTACACCTTAATTAGTATTGGTTTGAGAGTAACATTTTTGTCTTGTGTTTAAATATCATAACTAGTTATTTGTGATTTACGCAAAAATACTAGAAATTGTTTAAAATTACTCTAAAGTGTTGGAACATTGAATTGTAAAGTCTAGTAAGGCTTGCGGCGCTTGGGGAGGGTCGTTTTGTGTGCAATTTAATATTTTATTAGAAACGGTTGTGTTTACGCACACGAAGTATTTTCGTCTTATCATGGAGTCCTATTAACAATAGCTATTTTTTATCAATCTTTTACTAACCACTTATTAGTTGTCAGCGAACGGACTCTCACGTGCGTAGCGCTGTGAGCGTCAGAACAAAATGTTATATTTTTATGAGGTACCTTAGTGCCTCTTCAATATATTATTTTTCATGTATTTAGTAAATAAGTTGATTTTTTTTACAATTGTCATCGTTCATATTGAATATACGAATAATGTAATACGAAATGCAAATGAAATACGAATAACACTTAGTGAATAGTTTGATTACGAGAAAAAAAATATTATTATATTATATAGAATTAAGTTGATGTGTTCTAAAATCAAGATATCTGAAACAGTATACGATGAAATTTGAAAATTTTAAATAATTAAATTTGCTACCGATTACCGAGAGTGCACCGCCGTTATGTCGACAATACGAGCACTTTACTTTAGTGTACTTTTATAACTTAGTTGTGCGGCGAGGCCGCTAGGGGCGGGGTGGAGCTGCGCACGCGGCGGTGTACGCGACATGTATACGACGACTTCATTGTTATTGCGACCATCAGATTGACTTAAATACATTTTTGTGTAGTTAAATATTGTGTTTTATTTTTAAACCTTCATTCATCGCCAATATATGTTTTTCATTTGAATGATCAATAAATTGGCTCATCCAGTCCTCTTCCATAAAAATGTGATTTACTGATTTAAGGAGCGTTCTTCATGTTTTTCTAATTATATTTAAGAGCCAATCGATACTAGTAATTTTGAACGATAAACAGTCCACACAATAAGTGTATTAATTTCCAAAAAGCGTATAGCTTGGAAAAGTAAAATTAATTAAAATTTTAAAGAAATGGTATCGATACTAAAATACTGTATTTAATACAGTGGGATTGATAAAATCTTCGATATCGTTAGTAGGTAGATAGATTTACCACTAGCAGTGCCATATTATTACATTTTTGAGCAACGATACCTGATAAAATAATTCGGAATTCGATTACGTGATATGTTCGTTTGTTATCCATTGATAGCGATTGTGTCTATGATAATACATGCAAAACAAGTCACATCAATAACAATGTTTTATTACCAGAATTCCTTTTATTTCGTGACTTAAAAGCCTTTTTAAAGTGGCTAAAAATTCACAACTATCGAAACTGTAATAGCGACGTGGAGACCCTTGGTTTAGTAAGTTAAAGGCAATTCAACCACACTATAAACAACGATCACTTGTCAGTCTTTGCCTCCTTGTAAAACGTCCGCCCTTGATCCTTAGCCGACGACAAAGAAAACCTAAACCCGAATACGCACTTTGCAAATCCGATAACTTTTATTAATTATGTGTCTAAAGCGTTCGTTTTGGATATAAATGATGACTTATTACAAAATATTTTGTTTGTATATATTTTTATCAATATTCTCTTGACCTTCAACTCTGTGAGTAAGCAACTTCATAGGCGTTCAATGAAAATGACTCTGTTGTCGTGGTCGAGTCAGTTTCGTATAGACATCACACCGAAGCGGTATTATTCTATAAAGTTTATCATTTTTTTATTTTATTTGCTTGTAATGTTAAGATCTATTAGTGCTTTAACCAAAATCGTGCCAAGTACACAAAATTGTAAGTAGACAAATTATTAAATTATGAATTGAAATAACCAATAAAGGAGATGACGAAAGGAATGTGATAAGAGGAAATAAGGAAAATATTTAGAAGTAGCCTTTTAATATTTTTATTATTTCTTCTTGTGGATTATTAACCAAAACAAATGAGTAATTTTTGTGAAATACGAATACAGATTATGTGACATTAGTGTTGTACAATGAAAATAGTTTCTTCCGCTATGGTTCCTGGTTTTTTGGTTTCGCTTCTGCAAAAAAAAAAACCAAAATTATGATTTACATTTGGATGGACACAACTTGGATGCAAAATCTTAAACAATGCCTTGTATTACAGCAGGAAGAATGACAAGCATACACAGTGCCTACATAGAGGAAGTGCACGATGTGCCAATTTCCGTAATCACAAGGCCTTTCATTCCGGAACTAGATGAAAAAAAAGTACAGTCACTTATGGAAACAATACAAGTAAGCATTGAATAAAAGAAAATATATTTATGAGCTTAATATTTTTAATTAAAGTAGAATATACACGCGTATTTTAATAATTTCAGTTGAAATTTGTCCATACTTTAGCTACAACTACACTGTATCTGTTTCTACAATTAGAATTACATTCTTTTTAATGTAATATTTCCAGTAATTTAACTGTATGTGTACGTTTTCCCGATACTGTAAATCCCCTAAAAATGCCTCGAACGCAGAAGATTAATAAAATTACCATAAATAAGTGTTGCATGTTCCAAAAATGATTCTGGTTTTACATTTTTTGCTTGGTACATTCTGATTGTTATATTAGCTTATTATCGCATCAAAACACGTTTGCTAAATACAAAAATCGCTACATAGTATTGTTAGCTTATTAGCATTCAAGTAAAGCGACTTCGGTGCACAGTATTTTTGTGTATTGCGTATGTAAATTGACTTTGTAATAATATTAACTTTAGGCAATGTCAATTGTAGGTCGACTGAGGATTAGAATTTTCGTACACACACTTATTTTGAATTTTAATTTTTTATAGGTTAAAAAGTTTCTCAATATAACTATGGCTTTTAATATAGTGTAATTGACTTCTAGAAAGAAGATTCCGGCAACGTACCACCGATTGACGTACTTTGGATCAAGGGCTCAGAAGGTGGTAACTACTACTACAGTTTCGGCGGCTGCCATCGCTTCGCCGCGTACAAGAGACTCAACCGCCCTACCATACCTGCTAAACTAATCAAATCTACCGTCACTGACCTGCAGACATACCTCGGCAGCAGCACGCCGAATCTTAAGTAAATGTTAAGTTAATGTATATTAAATTAATTTGATTGTTGCATTTTCTAAAACCGTAAAGCAGGTTGTTAATTTGTGCTACATTCACTGATTCAGCGCTTTTAAGCGCATTTGTATGGAGTGTATATCTTTGTTATAATAAACATATTTATTGTAATATACATAAAGTAATTGTTATATACGATTAAAATAGCGTTTGTTCTTAAAGTTACATCAAGACGCATTTATATTTATTGATAATTTTAAACTAAAACAATGGCATAAAAATATCGGAAAAACCTTACTCGTATATTTTACATTAATTAAGGAAGAAAAAGATAAAAAGGCCAGCTACTTAATTCTGCCAATAAGATAATTAGAATTAAAATTGCCATTACCTAAATAACTTTTATTACCAGTTAGAAAATCTGTACTAATATAATAAAGCGTAAACACACACTTCTTTGTGGCGTAAGATGTCAACAATTACAGCATATTTTAGAATAATTCTCTATTTAATAAACAGCCCTACACTTACGTCACGCTTTAGGCTATGTATTTTCACGCTATTAAACTTAGGGGTAAACAAATTGGAAAAAATGCTTCGTGTGGAAAAGGGACTATAAACTGCAAGCTGACAACATTACGGAAGCAAGGTTACTATGGTAACGGTAATTTTGACATTTGCAATGAGAGTTTAACAAATGTAAACAATGAAATAAAATTTTTATAATTCCATGCGGATGAAGCCGCACGGGAATAGCTAGTATTTAATGAAAAATTCATGAGTGGACAAATATGTTTTTGTTTAAAATGTAAGCAAATTAAATATTTTATCGATTTATTTTTTTAATAATATCTACATTTATTGTGTGAGATTTTTTTACGACTGTTAATTGGTTTAAAAAATAAAACAGAGCTACTTTTCTCCAACCGTGTATTTATTTCGGAGTCGTCCTATCTAACTAGAGAACAATGAGATATGCTGTTTTTATCTGTTTCAATATATTTACAAACGCGAACATAAATAATATAAAAATACATTTATACATTTCATCACTTCGACCGGTTCTTCCGCTTACAAAACAAATGAACACATATATCGTACTGAAAATGTTTAAAAATGAAAAATTTATATAAAAAATCACAAAAACATGTGCGTGTTATTGTTTTTAAACTTTAGGCCATACTGTAAAATAAAAATACAGATTGTAAAACATATCAAATATGTTTGACAAATATCCAATAATGTAAAACAGTAGTCTATTAAGAGGCTTTTGTTTTAAAATTATTTTTGTTATAAATTTTCAAAGTTCGTACAGAAAAAACAATATTTATTTAATTTACAATTAAACTACAAAGCTCACATTTACTGTTTTTACAGCAGTCGAGTTTTTATCCCAAAGAACGGTCCTCTTCAAACCTCCTTTCCAACTGAATAGAAAAAATATATATATTTATGACACAACAATCATATGCATTCGTACCTGTACCATTTCTATCCACATAGTAACAACGTCCGGAAACAATGACCTCTAAATTCCACTGGATGGGCTAAGCCTTGGTATTTTGTGCGTATTTGATTTTCGCCATTTTGACGCTGACAGTAGTTGATAACGGTGTTGGATACTCGAATAATTAAGAGAATTATCCGATAGTAATTATTAGAGCGAACGCACACCTTTGACCAAACTATCGCACAACTGTTTAGTTTCACAACGCTTTTTTTTCTATGCGCTACTCGATTTTTTATTGTGCAACTAAATAGTGCGAGACAATCGACAATCGCATAACAGTTGTGCGATAATCTAGTTAAAGGTGCGCTGTCAGTATCAAACAAGTTGTCCATTGGATATCAATAGAGGCCAGTTTCCGGAATCCTAAAACCTCCGGCAACATACTTCTCCATATATTACATGAAATATATTTAAATCGGAAACTCGTCCTCACAACTCGACATAAAGCAGCGTATTAACATTTTGTGTTTATTACATATTTTATAAACATTCACTACGATTTATTTTTAATACATTGAAGCATTTAAATATTTTTCATTTCATAAAATTTTAATTTTTCTATTGTTATATTTATTTACAATTTATTATGTCGTATAAGAAGTGGCTGTAGAAACATTGAAGACTAGACTAGAAGCACTATTGACTCTATGGCAATCATCTTTTTTTTTTTAATTTTCGCAAGTAGATTAATGGGTATACTAGATACAATAATTATTCTTCCAGCCACTTCCCAAATATGTAAAATTCTAAATCTAAAGTTTGACATATATAGAAAATATTCTTTAAATATTTTTATCTATCTGGAAGGATATCTGTCATTGTTTTGTAATTCCCGAATTCAAAATACCCTTTGTCTACTTTCGTTATATCTAAAAACAATACATTATTATATTTGGCACAAACCTTTACTCGTCTGAAATAGCACAAAAAGCGGCGTGTCTCTGTCACGCCTATTGTTTCCTCATATGCTTTCTTCTCGCTCACTCCAAAGAAGCAAAGATTTGTAGCAAATACTAAAATTCTATATATTCTATTATTTTTTTTGGAGAGGAAATCTTTATTGTACATTTAAAGCATCCTTAACAAGTGACACATATGAAAATATTCGCTATTACAACTAGCAAAGATTCGATAAATTTGCAACAAAGAGCAATTATCTAAGAGGGGGCTATATAATACTCGTTGGAATGCATCGATTCTGGTGTAAACAGAAGTATCAAATATTTGGAAAATCAATAAATCGCTTAAGTACCTTTGGATTCTAATTTTTTTTTGTCAAATCATATATGGTAAAAACACAAACTCATTTTCAAGATTGTCTATGGTTAAATTTTTTGCCACATATAATCTTTTTCAATTAAAGTTAGGACACTCCATTGCCATTCCTTACAAACTCTTTGAGAATAAAAAAGACAACTATGTAAATAACACAACTGCTGCGGCAGTGCAATTTTATGGTTATTTTTTTTTCAAAATCTAGAGCTTTACAAGAACTGTAAACAATCGAAAAGCGAGGAACATTAATTAATTTTATTGCACGTCTTATTGGAACTTTAGTTTGATGTAATCAATTCAACGAAATAGTTTTTTTTATAGTATAAGGTGACAAACGAGCATATCGCCATCGAAATTAGTGAAATAGTGAAGCGACCGCTACCTTTAATCAATAGAGAACGGGACGCACAGAAAGACGAAATTTCCCTTACACATGAGTCCCAGCCTTCGCTAAAAGTACAAAAGGGTAGAAGGTGAGCGGAAAGTGGAAGACAACTAAAATTAGGCCTTCACAACATTGAGTTTGGCACTTAATTCTCACTATAGTTGCAAATTAAAAATGATTAGGCGTAATACAGCTTTTTATAACAAAGATTTTTTTTAAATACATTTGATTGTAGTCGTCAGTTATTTAGCTACCAAACAAATAAATACATCAGAATTTTGAACTTTAACTATAGTTTAAATTATCAACAGTGTTGCCAACAATAAATCTGAAATTCTAAACAACATTTTCCATGTAAAGTTAATCTGTTCTCATTAAATGAGAAATATTTTGATCTGACAACACTGAATCAACAATGTATGGGTAAAAATGGAATATTTTATATAATTTTAAATATCTTTTATATGTTGACTTAAATTACACGGTGGTATTTCAATTATTTACAATATTTTTCTTCATATTTCATTTGCTAATAGGTACCTTAATTTAATTAAAAATGTCATATTTGTCATTTAATTAAAATAGAACTGCACTTCGAAAATATACTACTCTATACTAAATTTAAAGCATTTTACGCACCATCGAAAATGTCTGTAGTGCAAGTTTTTTTTTTTTGAAGTGAAGAGAGCAAAAATTTTTAAAACATACAGCCAATTGCATTTTAGTACACGACATGAAACATTTAACGCTTTATATTTTCGATCGGTTCTTCTGTTAGTCCGTGTTCTATATATACAACGAAAGCGATTATTTTGTTTTTTATTTTTTTTTACAAAAATCATTTTTTGATTTTTTAATATCTGTGTTTATGATGCATTTATATTTTACAATTATCATTTTATACGTTAAAATAAAAACATTTCTTATACACTAATAAATAAATTGAGATTTAACTTCATTTAACTGCATCATTTTAACTACAGGTTTTTTTACATATACTTAAAATTCACAATAGTGAACATACGCAAATATATCTATGCATTAAAATAGCAGACTATTAAGTCGATATAATAAAAATAACTTACTATATCTACTCCGTTTCTAAAATATCAACATTCATATACTCTTGTATGACTAAGTTCGCTTGTCAATTTGCGAATTCATCTTAAAATATTATTTCGAAACAGATATGAGTTTTACGTAGTGAGAGCAAATTTTTGTCATAGATTAAATATATTCTAGAAGTCATTGACAAATATTTGTCTCTGGTTTTTACTTAATCTTTGTTATTAAAATGTCCAATTCCGTCGATAATATCTCTATCAAGTTAAAGAGTTTTTATATTGGGGTAACATCGAATAACACTTACTTTTATACATTCAATACTAACTAAGCGTATGACTTTACTTAGCCAATACCATAGTCTTTTTCACTGTTACACAGAATATACAACTGCTATTTAAAGTGTCTTCTGATAGCTGAACTAACCGTCACAAAAACAAACCTTTAGATATGGTTTTAGCGCAATTCTAACCTCGATTGCAGCCCAAGACTAGTGTGTCGCTAGTTGGGCGTTGTCTTGTGTGCGGTGGGCGGCGCTCAGACGACGTGGGCGTGACCTTGTGTGCTGTAGGCAACGTTCACACGATGTGGGCGTAGTCTTGTATGCTGTAGGCATCGTCCCCACGATCTGAGCGTGGTCTTGTATGCTGTAGGCAACGTCCACACGATATGAGCGTGGTCTTGTATGCTGTAGACAAGGCTCAGGCGATGTGGGCGTGGTCTTGTGCATAGTGGGAGTCGTTTAGACGAGATGGGCGTGGTCTTGTATGCTCAGACGAGGTCGCCGTCCCCGGGGGGCGGGGCGAAGTGCAGCTCGCGCTCGGCGAGGCAAAGCTGGCATCAGTCTAGCGCGCCGATACACTCCGGCTCCTCCCGCACGCACTCCTTCGGGAAGAACCCCGATCGGTTATCATCCTGCGGACATGGCACATTGTTTATGAATGTTTAAAGACACACCTAGTCACGCTTAATAAACATATGACTTAATCCGTTTAATCTTTTACAAAAGCGTACCTACTTTACATATCAAATTACATATATGTCGCAGGAAGTTATAAATTGACTGTTGCTTTATGTGTAACAACGTGTATTATCTTAAACATTATTAAACGTCTTACGTTTTAATATTGTTTAAGATAATATTATTAATTTAATTCCTTTTTCTCGAAAGTAGAAACTCGATGTCATTTGTATTTAGTTCT